TTCCCAGAACCAAAAACGAAAACCAGAGGCAAATACAGACAGAATTAGAAACCTTAGCCATGACTGGGACTAGTGGCATTAATTGTGTTTGCTTGTTGGTGAAGTGGAGAACCTCAAGGGTGTAATTTATAGTGCATAGGAGAGGGGTGAGTGAGGGACACGTCACAAGATGGGCTGGCCAGGTTAAGACATTCTTCAGCGTGCATGGCTATGAAACCTTGATGAGCTACACCTCATAAATAAAGTTGGCTTACAATTTTCTCATATTACAGGGGAACAAAGACATGCCACTCTTTGTATCTCATGCAGCTGTGACATCTCTTGCCCACCTGATATTGGTCCAAACACTATCAGGGACTATTATATTGCCCTCCATGTATCCACGCCTATATCTCCATCACTTTCTCGTCTCATCAATTCATTTATTACATCTCCCTCCCTCCCTTTTGAATTTGAATCATTTCCAAATTTTACCAATGAAGATGATGGGTTTAGCGGTTTGTACTTTATATGGCTTCATCAGGATGGAGGATGATGATGGGTTATTTGTATCTGCTGTCAGTTGCTTCATCATTTGGGTGGAATCTTATCGTGCTTTAAAAATCTGCATGCTGTTTGTGTACATGGCTCATGCTTGTTCATTACTGGCTCAGTTTTTCGGCCTCGACAAAGAAAGACAAGACTATAAATTTACCTTATTATCAGATCTACATGCTCAAGTTTCTCGTGCAAGTCCATGTTTCAACTTTCAAGGTAGGAAAGCACGCACATTCATGTACTAAAGTTATGAAGCCACATTAATTATATTATATATTACCCTGTTTTGGCATTTTCGGAATCCTGGTCCGTATAATCTTCTCTTGATTTAAACACGGCTGTGGTCTAGCACATTTGGAATATTATAATACTTAATTTATTCACGACATGCAAACTTAATTAAAAGACGCGCAAATGATTCCCCAACAAAAACCCCGTTTGTTGTTTTGTCCTCATACGAGTTTTTCTTGAGGCCAGGAAATCACTTTTTCGCCCTTCCCCGTTCAAACATATTTTACCATAAAGATGAAAGCTGTGAGAAGCTTTGATTATAAAATTAAAATAATTCTTACATGATAACTTAGAATATTTCACAACAAATCCAACACAAAATCTCATAGTGAATAATTTCTGGACATATGAAGATACAGGAACAAATTGCCTAATGCAACTAATACAGCTGTTGCACAAAACCAGGATTCTCTTCTAAATTATACAGTAGAACGTATCTAGCCACTATCACATGCAAATTCTATTTCGAGTTCAATTCAGGAAAGAATCCTATACAATATTTGGACATAGACAATCGATTCTGGTAATCAAGAACTTGGTAAGACAACCTATTCAACCACCCCGGTACGGTTGCTTCTGAGCCGCTTGGAAACTACGAGCTTTAAATTCAGTTTAAGCCATCTGCTGTGGATCACTTAAAAAAGATGAACATGGGAACAGTGGTTACGGCTTTAGATCTATAGAACATTCTCTTCTTCTTGAAGGTTCCATTTCCAACTGTAATCACTATCTTCCCAGGTTCATTTATGTAAAAGGAATTTCTAATACTGTCCCCCATTCTCTTTTGGTTCTGCAGCAGTATAGTGTATGAGCCTTCATCCTCTGGAATGAACTCTTCCTTGTATGACACTTCCCATCCCACCACAGTTACATCCCAGATCAATGTCACTCCGGGCTGCAGACACAATCCAAACATCAAAATCAATACGAATGAAAATTAAATTAGATCTCATATATATGAAAACATCATCCTAAAGTTGGGCGCACCTCGTTCACTGGAATTTCAATTGTAGACATTGTATTTCCTCTGATTTTGTGTTCTAAAGTTTTATCACCAGGGGAGAAATCTTGGTCATTTTCCCTCTTGAGACCACCATATTCAACCGGAAGATGTTCTGGGGCTATGAACCTTTTTCAGGTTATTAAGAATATAATCAGGATTATAGTGTTTGTCAATGAATTAAAAAGGATGGAAAGAATTGATAGAAAGCTCACTTGAGGAGCGTCTGTGTGGCTCTAGGAGGTCTAGCCAACATGAACTCCTTTTCACTTTTATGACTCATGAACCGTGAGAATAGCAATTGGGAGGTGTAGAACCAAAATGGAGCATTTACTACTATCTGTATACACCAAAAAAAAAAAAAAACATAAATTTCAATGTCAGTTAGATTTCAGAAAATCAAAGTATCAATCATAGTTTCTTTGATACCGACCTCTCTGTAAATGGTCTCAGGATAGTAGCTCTGAAACAGAGGCAGAGTTTTCTTGCTGACTGAATTAAGCTCCTTCATTACGTGCTTCGGTGTGCCATGCAAATCAATAATCTGAACAATGGAATACACCCCTCCTTCTCTGAAGTTAAGCTTCTTCATACTCTTTTCCATGAACTGGATTCTCCACCTCAAAAACTTGTCGCGTTCCTTTTCCGTCCCGAAGGTTTTCTTACACAGCTCCTTGTTCCTGAAAACCCCGTAAACGAAGTAACACACAGGACGACCCTCTCTGTCCCTGCTGTTTATGTACATAAATTTTCCATATTCAGAATCCAAATCCTCGTCGAGGATTGTGTCTATGTTGTTTTCCTTTCGCCATATCATGGTCTTCTGCAGCATCTCAAAGGCATCAGCAACGCAGAAATCTTTGGCCTTCAAGAACTTCAACAAAACCGAATCAGTACCCTCATGGGCCTTGCTGGGCAACAATGGAATACCCCAGAGAGCAATTTCTCTCAATTTTTCGGCGGCTAAAACTTTTTCTCCAGGCGAGTGTTTCTGCTCTGATTCGCCTAGCAAGTAGTTCCCGAGAATGGAATCTTCAACCTTGCACCGGAATTCCAATAACGCCTTCTTGGTTTTAAGCTTGAGCTCGGCAGGGCTTGGGTTTCCATCTGGCTGGGCGGCGAATTCGTGGTCCTCTATTTCGGAATCAGGGTCGTCATGGGGTCTTTCCCTATCGGCAAGATCCGGGTCCTTGAGGGTTGTCTCATCTTTGATGAAATACACGTCCTTTGGGATGATCGGGGCCTTCCGGACATCGCTTTCATCATCGGTGTCGTTCATGGCGAAATGTCAGAATTCCGGCGGCAATGAAATGCCGGAAAACTGAACAAAAGAGGTGGGGAGATTGGAAGGAGTGGACAGATAAGGAAGCAAGAAAGAAAGAACGAAAGAAAGATGGGAGATTCACGAAGGCATTGGTGTTCATGGAGAGAACTAGCGAATTCTCAACCGTTGGCTGAGAAGCGCCAAATTTAGAGCTGATGGCCGTGAATCATTTTATGTGGAAGCATGGATATGAAAAAACTGATGAGTTTCTCTTTTTGTAAAACAGTGCTGAGTTACTATTCAGCGCCACAAAAAAAAAAAAGGTAATTTCTTTAATTTCTCTTTATTTTTTCTTTCTTTTCAGGGTGCAAACTCGGTTTTCCGATGCTTTTTCCTGAAAAAATTAAAAGTAAAAAAGCTATTGAATATAATTAATACTCTACGTTCTGATATAGAAATACGGCTGTCCGTTTCTCAACTAATAGTAGTGCTGTGCTTTGCAACTTCCATTTGCAGAGTGGCACCGACGGTTCAGAATCAATCGTTATTTTAAAAATAATAATTTTGAAAATGTCCTTTAACGTCGGAGGAGCGAAAATCCCCAAAGTTTTCCATTACCCCCTTGTCCCCATGAATACAAAATAAAATAAAATATGCTAAAAATGCTCCCAAAGTCCCAAACCACTAAGTTATCCTTCGGCTTTGTCAAAAGAGCTAAACAATTAGAAAACCACTGATACCAATATCATTCAGGCACATAGATTTTGATTTTTTTTAATTATTATATTGTCTTTTTTTTTTTTTAACTCTTCTTCATCCCAATACTGGTTTTTCTTCCAGTTAAATTAAAACCATGTAGGATTCTCATGCATTTGCATTTGTCCAGTTATAAATAAAAATAATAATATATACGTTTGTGTTCGCAAAATTTAAGATGAACCACGACTTGCATGAAAAAACGAATCAATTATATAATGAATGCTAACAGCTACTGACTCTGACTTGTGAATTGTGATGGCACAAAATAACTTGCACCTCTTCTGCATAATTAATCAGAACCTGTGAGCTTTATTCCTTTTCATCTTTCTTAGCATCTTCAAATTCATCAGTTATTGATCTTCCCTTTAAACTTGGTACTGTTCTTTCAACTTCTGCTATCAAGACATCCATTTTCTGCTACTCGCTTAATCGATCAACGTCAAAAACTGGACCCTTGGTCCTTGGTTTCCGGATTCTTTTGGATCTGACATTCCAGTAGGAAGGCTAATCTATTCTTTTTTACATTCATGTGTTACCTATACGTTTATCCTCGCACAATAAACAAGCAAAAAGAGCTGATGTTAGTCTTGGAATTTATCCTGCGGTTTAGTTCTTCTTCCATATTGGATGTTTCTTCTCACTCTAAACGGATCAAAAGAGACACATGCAACTCGATCACTCTCTGCATCAAACTATCGGTTGATATCAAAGTATTTTCGATCCTAAGAAATGAAAGAGGGGACGTTGGTTGATTATAGTTTTAGTCATGCATGAAAAAAAGGACCAGCGTTCATGAAATGGCGCCGAATTAATGCACCATAACACAAACGTAGGAAAACTTCCACGTATTCCCCCCCCCCCCCAAAAAAAAGGAGAAGTTCCACGCAATGTGTTCCTCACTCGAGGACTAGATACGGTCTAATATTGGCGGCAATGATTATTGTGCATCATTATATTAGTTTTTGTGGGGTCCCACCACTCCTTAAAAGGCACCAGCTTCTCATGAATCTTCTCGTACCAGGGCCATAGCATTTTCTCCTATAAATATCTAAATTTCTCTGCGAGCGCTAGTTACACTAGTAACTTTCCTAGAGAAGTGACATTCAATCCAAAATTGAATAATGAATCATTTACAAACTGACTGCAAACTTCGCATAAGAATTTGACGATTGCATGAAAAAATGGTAATACAGCCAACGTTATTTCCTCCTTGCGCCAAACTTCTGACACGCAGAGCCAGAGACCGAACAAATCAAGTCATAAGAAACTAGCATGATATCCCAATTAGTTATGAAGTATCACAGGCGTTCAGGGAGATCAACAGTACAGAAAGAACTAATAGCCTACGACAAAGATCAACAGTACAGAAAGAACTAATAGCCTACTACAAAGATATGGACAGCGATAAAATTTAATGCTATAAGAACCATGCCAACTCGCTCTTTCCTCATTCAGCATTTCTCTTACCGTCCGATTCAGCATCCTTCTCTTTAGCGCAATTCGCCGTGTTGGCCTCACAATGACTATCGACAACAGCAGTAGAATTGACCTTGGAAGCGTCAGACTTACTGGGTGGCTTCCTTTGAAGCCTCTCGGCAGCATCTGACTCACCAGATTCATCACCTTCAAAGCTTTCTGGTGGCGCGATGGGATTTTGAACAGCTTCCACAACATGCTTTGTGGCATCAGCAACTTGGGGTGGTTGTGCTTGTGCTCCAGAATCTTGGGCAGCTTCTAACTCCTCGTACTTGGAAACTACCTGTTGTAGTTCATCATTAAGGTTCAAAGCCTCAAACAGTGTTCCCTCATCATCAGTGGTGCTTTCCACAATCACCTTAATGACAGACAGTGACTGCCTGCACTTTTCCAACAAGCTCACAGTTACATCCTCCTGCAACCATGCGAGATATTTGGTAAATTTTATCAGTGAAGAATTATTCTATCCTATTAGTGATATAGGAAACACAGGTAATTTTATTATAGAAAAGGGCAAAAGCTTCATAACCATATATTAATGTAATTTTCATACCTAAAAAGATCGACATCATTGTCATTACTAATTCGACATTTAAGCACTCAAACGATCTGCTCTTGACCATTACTCTTGCCTTAAGAAGTAAATAGCTTCTTTCCCATAATTTCACTCTTCCAAAGTCCAAGAACAAAAGACTCCATATGTACAAAACAAATTACACCATCTTCCTATAATGCTGCCATGGATTTACAGTTCATGCATATGTTTATATAAACATCTGTTTAGAGGAGAAACCAATACACTGAGAACAAACATGCATGAAGCATTAAAACTCAGAGTGCAGCCTTCCTCTAACTTCATAAAGTTTACCTTCAACAATTTTGGCTCTGCTCCAGAATTTAATATGGTAGAGAGTAATTCAAGACTGTTTCGAGCAATGACAAGATGTTCCTTCTTTTCTTCAATTGATAAGCTTCTGGGATTAGAAGAGAGAGCAGATCCATCCATCTCATGGAACGCAGCATCAGGAATAGGATAACTTTCAGGGGGATCTAATGAATCTTCGTGTACATGAGACTCCAAGGAAGATGGCATATGCGCTGAATTTTCTCCATCCATCTCCACAGGCATATTTCTTCCTTTCAGACTCTGCCATCAACCGTGTCAGGGCTAAAATTCAATAATACACTTGACATGGCAGAATGCAGCAGAATAAGACAGCCAATTAAATAAAGAAAAAGGAGGGAAGCTCGGTACTTAATCAGCTAGAGAGAGCTGAAAGCAAGTGAGAAATTAGAGTGTTATGCTGCAAGCACTCTCAGGGTTACTGATAGGATTCTAACTTATCAGAGGCGAAGAAAGAGGGAAGAATCTTAAGGCTTGACTAAGTCCTTGCTGTTTCTGAATTAAGTTTTTTAAATGTTTTGGAATATTTCAACGTTATTAGCAGAATAATAGGACTGTTATAGTCCACTTAGTTTGATTGTTTCTGTTTAGATGTTATCCCGATAAGGTAGGGATTTTCTGTTATTTCTTTCATTGTAATTGGCCTATAAATATGCTAGCACAGATTCAAGGCTGGCATGAGTGAATAATATTATTTCAGCTTCTACGGAGATACTCCTATCAGGCTACTGTGAGCGAGCGAGTGAGATACTTACTTGTGAGATCCAGTAGAGTGTTTGTGTGAGTTTATTAATTACAGATTACCCCTGTTCTTACCATTTGGCATCAGAGCCATGGTTGAGACGCGTTCTTCCCGCAACACCAATCCAAATGATGACAACCCTTTCGCTGGAGATCCCTTAGCAGCCATAGCTTCACGGTTAGAAGCTTTGGATGTTTTGACCGAAAAAGTTACAGCCTTGGAAAATATGTCTGGTCGAGGAAATCGTGGCAGGGGTAGGCAACGTCATTGGGGAGATGACAGCGATGAAGATTCAGATATGTACAGAAGGGGACCGAAACCTCCTCACGCCAAAGTTGAATTCCCAAAATTCAGTGGAGGTGATCCGAGGGGATGGATCCTCAAGGCCGAAAAGTATTTCAGGTATTACGAGACGCCGGAGGATCTTAAGGTTGACGTAGCTTCCATGTATCTTGAGGGAGATGCCTTGGACTTATTCTCTTGGGTAAATAGCGAGAGAACCATGCTGTATTGGGATGAGTTGGTCAAAATCTTACAAGAACACTATGGGCCACCTGAATATATGAATCCTGATGAACACCTTTGCAGTATTCGCCAAACAGGGACGGTACACGACTATAGGCAGGAGTTTGCTCGGAGGGCGGCGCATGTGTCCAATTGGCCGGAACATTGCCTTCTTGCAATCTTCATAAACGGCCTGAAGGAGGAGCTCAAGTCGGATGTGCGTATTCAGAAGCCACGCACTGTATACCGTGCAGCCAGTCTCGCCCTAGAGTATGAGAGGAAGCTGAATCTAGCATATGGGCCCAAGCCCAATCCGGTATCTGGCCCAAGTCGCACATTTTCCTCCAATCAACCGGGGAATTTTGCACGGGAGAAAGGCGTTCTCGTGCCTTCTTCAAACCTGCGCAACACACACCCAGGAGCAGCATCTTCTTCCACGCAGGCTCCTCGTGCGAATCCTGGGAACAGCTCGTGGGACAATCTGAGGCAACAAAGACGAGAAAAAGGATTATGTTTCCGCTGTGGGGTTACTTTTAAACCAGGGCATCGTTGCTCGACTTCTTTTTCCTTGATGGAAATCGATGAGAATGGGGACCCAGTGCCAGAAATTCTTGAACCAGTGGAGGAAGAGGGGGAACCAGAGGACGCAGAAGTGTCATTTAACGCAATCCTGGGTCAACCCACTGCTGCCACGATGAAACTTTGTGGCTCACTTTGTGATCGGAGCGTTCTGCTCTTAGTTGACAGCGGCTCTACGCACAACTTCATCTCAGAATCGTTAGTTGCTGAATTAAATTTGCCTACCAGCACTGTTTCTACCTTCGGGGTCCAGATTGGTGATGGACGAATGGTTCGCTGTAATCTCATATGTAAGGATATTGAAGTACAGCTTCCAGGTTTGACCCTAAAGCAAGGACTTAGTCAAGCCTTAAGATTCTTCCCTCTTTCTTCGCCTCTGATAAGTTAGAATCCTATCATTACTTTTGAAGGGGGGAGTAATGATAGGATTCTAACTTATCAGAGGCGAAGAAAGAGGGAAGAATCTTAAGGCTTGACTAAGTCCTTGCTGTTTCTGAATTAAGTTTTTTAAATGTTTTGGAATATTTCAACGTTATTAGCAGAATAATAGGACTGTTATAGTCCACTTAGTTTGATTGTTTCTGTTTAGATGTTATCCCGATAAGGTAGGGATTTTCTGTTATTTCTTTCATTGTAATTGGCCTATAAATATGCTAGCACAGATTCAAGGCTGGCATGAGTGAATAATATTATTTCAGCTTCTACGGAGATACTCCTATCAGGCTACTGTGAGCGAGCGAGTGAGATACTTACTTGTGAGATCCAGTAGAGTGTTTGTGTGAGTTTATTAATTACAGATTACCCCTGTTCTTACCAGTTACCTGGGAAGGGCTATTCCGATAAAGATTATACAACAGTATGCAACAATAGCTGCAAGCTATGCAAGACAGGAAAAATCAACCAAGTAATAAAATCGCCCAGGGAATTTACTTACTTTTTTTTTCTTTTTTTTTACTATTCAGTGCATTTAATAGTTGCCTAAGAAGCAAAGATTCAAAAATTTTCAACAAGATCTTCATTCAAATAAACGAATTCAGTCAAAATAAACTTGTTTTGGCATACTTCCACGTTAGTTCTGAAACCAACAGTTATAGGCAGAAGAAGCTACAAATTTTCTCCCCAAGATCCTCTTATCCGTGAGTTATGCACTTAATAGATCAAGCTTTGATAACGATCTGCACGATGTACCATATTTTAATCCGGGACTGCCATATGTCCTGCTAATAAATAAGTTCATGAAGAAACTAGAGTCCAAAAAGAAAATATAAATAAACAGGTTCGTCTACAAGATCCAAGAATTCAAGAAAAGGAAACGAAGAGAATGAATACAAGAAATTCAGCAAGTTAATAATATAATAACAATGTAAAAAAGATAAGGAGACTAATCAATAAGTATCCAGGCCAAGTCATAACACGTTACGTAAAAACGCTTACCATATAGGTTTGACGAAACACTGGTAGATAGGCAAGATCCTCTGACTCTCCCCAAGCCCTGATCAACTGTAAAGCCCTTCTTCTATTCTGATGATGAGTTTGCGGATTATCAATCATTCGAACCATATCTTCAAGCACCTTCTCTGATGCCACCTCAGAAAACACTTTATCACAATTCATAGTACAGGCTTCTAGCAAGTCAAGACTGAGCCTCTGGCTCACTGGGTTCTTGCTTAAAATCTTCTTCTTTATAGCCTTCACAATCTCGGATCCATTAAACTCTCCACTATTGATCATCGCACATATCCTCAAATTCATGCCCCAGTTGGGTTCCTCAAGAATCTCTGATGTTGCTTCGTCAACCATCTTTGATTCAGGAGTGGGGGTTTGCAAAATTTCCTTCATTTTGTCACTAACAATTCGACCCATTTGAGCTCCACTTGTCTTCAGCTTCTCACCCAATTGAGCTAGGTTCAACTTGTCCATTATTTCAACAAAATTCACAGTCCACAAACCTAATGGGTATTGGGGGAAAAAAAAAACAAAAAAGAAAAGACGTGAAATTGAGGGGTAAGCACGAAGATCGGCTCCTTCATTGACATTAGAGTGAAAACACCGCTGAGGTTCAATATGAAGAGAAAAATAAATAAAACGTGTCGCACCGACTATTTCGTTGCCAAAATCCGATGATATTTAAATTGTCGACCAGGATGAACCAAAAAAGAGAATAACAACAGATTTATAGCGTTACGACCATTTACAAACCTGGAATTGAATTGTCGAGGAACCCAGGTTGTGAGAGTAGATGAGGGGATCAAACCAACTGGTTTGTCACTGCAATCAGGAAGTAACACCTTCGAACTGCAAAGCGAGCACTTGATAAAATTAAAATCTTCTTTAGGAGAGCAAACTGACAGACAGATTTTGCTCGGGGCAGAGGGAGGAGAGAGAGACACACAGAGATATTGGATTTCGAGGCGGTCGGGATTTTGGTGGGCCCGATGTTCGACTTCGACCCATTCTCTCATACTGGACGTTGGATCTTTGGATACATAAATGCGAGGGTGACCCGAGTGAATCACACGGGATACGCGTGTGTGAAATTGATTTTTTTTCCCATTAATAAAATTAATTTTGTCAAATAATAATTTTAATTTTGGCCATAAGAATATTAATTTTAATACTACTATATATATATATAACAGTAATAGATCACTATACATAACAAATATTTTCAACCCGTCCAATGCAAAAGAAGCTGAAATATTTCATTCCAATTGAAAATATACTCAGTTTATTTATTATATAGTGTGATTATTTTTAAATTATAGCTGACCATTAAGAATTGGCTCTTCCACATTTCATGCGTATTTATTATTCCATTTTAGAATTGTTATGTTTTTCTTGAATTTTCCCTTTTGTTTCTTAAAAAGAAATTGATCGCAAACTCATTTTTATTCATTTATTTTTTAAATAAAAACATTTTATTTTTTAGTTCTTAATAAGATCCATTTAACTAATCTGATTAGATTAAGAAAGTTAGGTAAGTTAGTTAATTATAAAAAATGTGAGACATTTTTCTTAAAACATCATAATCATCTTTCTTAATACCCTTCTTCCTCTTCTACTTGATTATGGTTGAGGGAGTATCAATAAAGATAATTTAGAAAAAATTAATAAATATGAAAAATAGGTTTTATATTTAGGATCAAAACTAACCAATAATTAGATTTTATATTAAATATCAGAGTATTTTGCATACTCACCTTAATAAACTTATTATTATTATTGTTATCATTAATTTTGCACCCGGCAATCCTCACCCCATTTTTACTTTCTAGAGCTCATAACAAAGCGGAGCTTTGAAGAGGGTTAGTTAACACTTTAACAAGGTGACATACAAAGCAGCGAAGATCGGATAAAAGAGAACAAGAGAGAAATTTTTTAACGGGGTTTTCCCATTTTATTATTTTCGTTCTGGGTCCTAAGTATAGAATTCTCCCAGAGGGTTTAAGGAACAGAAGAGTTATAAGTATCGGGCTTGTGCGGACTACTCTGTCTGCAATGGCTTCGCTTTCAACATGGTGTCGATACATGGCTCACAAACTCGAGTACTCCATATCAATCGGCATGAAGGTCTCACTTGCTCTCTGACCCTATAGCCCTAAATTTATTTTCACATTTTATTTCGCATTTTTCCCATTTTCCGACTTCTCAAATTGTTTATCAGTCGTATTTCAACAATTAACCGGCTTCCATTGACGTTGTAAGGGGCTGAAATACATGTATGTATTTTCATTGTGGAATATCTTATCAGCTTTGAGTGGTGCTTATTATTATTAATTGTAGCCGTTTACATATGATTGAAGTATAATGTTTCCTCTAATTTTCCCGGGTTAAAGGGTTAAGAATTCAATGTAAAACAAAATGGCAACTCACCTTACACGATCCCTGCTCCAAAGGGTTGCAGTTGAATTGCATTTTTTGTCTCTTTGGGCGCATGCTGTCGATCTCAATTTTTTGTGAAGACTATTAACGATTCAATATGACTTCTGAACTTTACTTGAGTGCGATTCCTTAATCAGGTTATAGCTGTTCCCCTCTTGCTCGTTCTAATCGAATCTATCCTCCTATTTTCCCCCCCTAAAGATCCAAATCTAGCCACATTATAGATGGATATCTGGAGAATTCTGTTAGCTGTTTTCCTTGTCGCATTTGATTATTAGCTTTATCATTTATAAAACAAGAAAGTAAACTGTAAGCTTCCCAGATGCTATGTTCTGTAGAGTGTTTTGACTATATTCGTATACAAGAGTAGTCAACATTCTTGTACAGCTTTTACGCATATAGATCAAGTTCAATGATATATATTTAAACTGATTGTCTTCTATTTCAACAACAAAAGGCTAGATATTCATCAAAGATTGTTGGATCTTTTTGTGCACAAGTCTGTATCAGCAGATTTTATACCAGACCAGATGGTGGAAAGTGACATCAAGCACATGTGAAACATATGTTCACATAGGTGTTTTTCATGATTGAAACTAGTTAAATGTGCGAAACTGTTTCTCTCTCAGATGTTCATTGTGGCAATGACACTATAAAATGAGAAAATTCTTTAGGTCTACATTTGCAATATGTTTTTTTTTTCCCCATAAATTTTCAAACACATAACCTTGCTTACTTACTGATACGTAGCAAAGGTAAAAATATAAACAAACTTCATTTCACACCATCGCTTGACTATCTTTCCCCTACTTGTACAGACAGAGGCTGGTAGGATTCCATGCTAATTACCTCACTAACCCCCGATTCCTAACAATTACCCTAATCACCCTTAGCTCCCACATGACAATAACCAGTGGCATTGTACTGATCCTTGAGGACAAGGATCATTCTCAAGTGGGGAATATTGTCATGAGAGAATTAAGTAATTAGGGAATAAGTCATAGGGGCAGCTTTGGAATTTGGACTGTGGCATCTAGTGAAAGGATACATAGATCATCGGTGTGAATGAAATGGTATTTTGTGCTATTGTGTTTTGATGGCTTTTGCCATGCACCACTTGCACTGAGATGCTTGTGGTTAAATTAAAAGGTTCTTGCTCAACAAGAGGCCTTATTAATGCTTTCATGAGTGTTCTTGCTTTTAGGCTGATTAATTGTGGAAATGAAACTCCGACTTCCAAGATATTTCTTGAATGGAGGAATTTGAAGATGGATGGAAGTATTTATTTAAATCAGGGGCTCAAAGGTTTAAAGCTGAGAAATTTAGACCGTATATTATTTTAATATCTCATTTGTAGCAATTATAAAAGTATGAAAAACAGTGTTGCCCCCCCCCCCAAAAAAAAAAAGAAGAAGATTGTCATATAAAAGTATTTTGTTGTTGTTGTTGGATAGAAGTGTGACTAAGTTTTATGTTGAAATGGCCTTGGATGTAAGAGAAGAGCAGTTTTTGTTTGGTTATCTATAGCTTTTAAGTTTTGATACCTTTTGGTGTCCTATGGAGATATCCTAAACATAAAACTCGCATCCCCTGTTGTGAAGCTATGCTGGCTTATTTGTCAGTCGTGAAAATTCTATTCTATTGGTTGTTCACCATTTCATCTTTTTACCTGTAGTTCTCCTCGCATCCTTATGTTTTATCACTTTCTTTTTCTATCACTTTTTTATACCTTCTTTATCTCCATACCATAACTCTGCCAGTGTATCACAATATGAGTTTTTAATATTTGGAAGCTTTTCTGACCCATTCACTGATGTGGCGCAGACCTATAAAAGGGGCCAAATCACGGACAGGGAGGTAAATCATGTTATTTGGAAGAATCTCCTTCAAGGAAGGCTGACGTACTTGCTCTGTAACAAAGGAGAGGAAATGGCCCCAACCCTAGATGGAAAAGGAGGAACTCTTCTTGTTCGGAAGTTACCAAAAGCAGACCCAACGTAATCATTTTGCATTACAAATTTACATATTGCTATTGCTAGTGGGCATATAGGGACCGTTTTATCCCAGGGATTCATCATTCTCCCCAAAATCACACTCGCATTCCATGTTATCTCCTTGGGTTTATGATATGAAAATTATACAAGAACAAGAATACAGATTCCACTGTTTTATTTTGAGAATCAATAACATATTTTGGAATTGGATGGAGACAAAAACTTACTTGTTTGCCCTTCCTTCTAAGGGCAGCGTTTGTGATCAGGTCTTATTATCTAACTATATATTTTTTTTATGGTCTTCTTCTTTGTTTCATTCTTGTGTATTATTCTTTGGACTTCCGCTAGGTAACAACGCATTGATGATTGACCTTGTCAACTGAAGCTCATTGCAAGACTGATTCTCATTTTTCATAATTTGTTGATGATATACATGTTTCTTTGATAGGCGTGTCTTTGTTGGAGATGTAGTCGTTTTGAAGGACCCTGAGAAACAAAACAATCATTTAGTCAGAAGACTGGCTGCCATTGAAGGCTATGAAATGGTTTCTACAAATGAAAAAGATGAACCTTTCGTTCTTGAGGATGATCAATGTTGGGTATTGGCTGACAATCAAAATTTAAAACCTAAGGTATAGGCCCCGCAGTTCTTTTCCACAAAATCCATCACTGTAAATGCACTATCAATATTAGTATGCTAAGTAGTCATGATTGACAACAGATTTAAACACTGTTCTTAGTTGAAATCTTATGTCCAAGTCAGAAACGAATCATATCGGAAACTTGGCTTGACTCTGAAAACATTATTTACAAGTACGATGTTGCTAGAGAGTTTACACATATTCTTCTTGGGTATATCGATACTAATTCTTTTATAAGTTTCATTACTGTGAAAATCTGGGTAGTGATGGCTTTATTCATGTACAGCCGACTGTTTGCTTCTTCCATTAATAATTGAAAAGTAACCGTTGGCCTCAAAAATTGAGGGAAAAGGCATCTTCAAATAATTTGGACTTGTTTTGTCTCAGATCTCAACATTAATTTTTTTTTTGGGGGGGGGGGTTGGTGTGCTCTACCTAGCAGCATATGCTTAAGTGAGGATATTGTTAATTTCTTTATATTTCTGTGCTTGCATTCTCCACGGTCACTTATGTGAAGTGATTACTGTCCACAAAGACCATGTAGGATTGGCTGTGACTTACTGGTTATCCTTTTTGACTCTTCAAATGGCAGGAAGCATATGATAGTAGAATATTTGGTCCAGTTCAAATGACGGACATTGTGGGCAGAGTCATTTATTGCTTGCGATCTGCAGTAGATCATGGTCCTGTACAGAACAGGTGAACCAAACTTCTGAGTCTTGTTATTTGTATAACTGGGGATGCTTCTCTAATAATTATATATTCTACTCCTTCTCCAGTCACTATGGCATGCAGAGGGATTCGCCAGTGTTGGCAATGGAACTGGATGTTGATGAGATGGCAAAGAGTAACAAAGCCTGAACTTTTTGTTCACTGACTTGTTTGTTTTATACGTACGACTTGGTTTCTCTTTCTTTCCAACTGGGAAGTGAATTCATCATTGTTTATTAGAAACATCATGAGCTGAAACACTAGGAAAAAGACTGCGTATGAATCCTTGTCTCAAGTTACGGTGGCCTCCCAGCCTGAAGAGTATATACTTTGAAGGCCTAGTGCTGTTGTGCCCCACGGCACTCCTCATATCGTTCGAGGTGAGGATCCTTTATATCTTATAAGTTGTTCATCGGTGCGAGTATATGATCCTGAGAGAAGAACAAAGCTTAAACTTGCTGAATCGAATAAAGATGGTGCTTAATTGCAAGGTCATTCTCTCTTTTGCTTTCGAGTTGTTCATTTTATCATTTTTATGACCGTTTTTGCCATTTTCAAAAATTCAAGGTCAAGAACAGCATTGGTCATATGTGTGGCTTGCAATTCCAAGGTTATTTGGTAAAGGAGGGCGAAATAATGCCCATGATCTTTTTAAAGAAAGAAGGTATAATTGGTGTTATCCATTAAAAAATACTCCTACTTATTATAAGTTTCAAATAATTAATTTGCGGATAACAAACAATTAGTTAAAATCAGTTAAAAATAATAAATATGTTAGAAATATATTTTTGTTTTTAAATATGCCTTTACAGTAAATAAAAAAAATGATGTAAGAAAATGTGTAGAGAATTATGATAAGAGAGATTATAACAAGAAGAGAGGATAAATAACTAAAAGAAAAATTAAAAAACAATGTATTAAATGTCAAAATAAACATCAAATTAAAACTTATAAAATAGATTATATTCTTTTTCAAATTGAAAGCTTATAAATAAGACTGAAAAGAGTAATTTTGTGAATAATTAAGAACTATTATGTTTTAAGAGTTACAAAACGAATGTTTTATCCATTAAAAATTATTGGTCAATAAATAAAAGGCCTGGGAATATAAAAGTTAAAAATTTTCGAACCAAATCAATAAAAATGAAATAAATTAAAGGATTAGGAATATACTTATATACATCGATAGATAAACAATAAAATTAATTAACACGTGAATTAAAGATTTAGAGTTGTATGTTCATCAGGAAACAAAGCAAGTTGACAGCTATGAACCAAGTATTGCTGGTGGTCATATTTTGCCTGTCAGGAAAGTAAAACGAAATAACTAGTTGATAGCTAAAAAAAATGGGCTTGCAGCCACAAATCATTTTTTCCAAAGGAGACGATAGATTGCTTTCGAACAGATCGGTGACCAGTCCGGGAAGGGGGGTGGGCAGGTCCAAAACGTTGCCGTTGTCACGAATCCAATCTATTTGTATTTCTCCGACTTGCTCCGACCCCTAGGGTGAGATTGGGAGCGTGATTTATAAAATTATATTAACAGGGTTAGATCAAGCAGAATGAGTTAGTAATATTTACATTTAATAGCCGACAGTATTTTAAAAAAGATCACCTTTAATAAAAGAATATATTTACTTAAAAAATTATAAAAGAGTCTAGTAGGAAAAAAATAATAATAATAACAAGAGAGTTACTAAACGACGGGCGCAGCAGAGCCTTCTTCCCCACATTAGCTTGAGCAGGAGGCCCATAAGAGTCCTAATAATATTGAGGCCAGAAGTTGCTTTTCACACGTCGCTCTAACTAGCGACTGCTTTTCACACGTCCTTCGAACGTGATTTGTCGCAGATTAGGGTATACTTTATGATTTGATCTTAGTATGTTGGTTTGTCTAATTGTCTTCATCCAAATGTACCTCCCTGGATGTGTGAAAATTTATTAAAAGGGCTTTTTTATGCGCTTGCAATATAAATTTTGTTGTGTTTCTACTGCCTTTAATATCCCTGGCATGAATGCCAAAATAATGGTTATTTTCAAATGTCTATTGAATGTAAGCACTATAACCGATAAAAATTTATACCGCATGATACATTAATTAAATTTTCTCACAAATTAAAGAATGTTGGTTAAGTCATTAAATTTATTTCAAATTGATAAAAATTATTTGCCTTATTCTTATTTTTTTAAAAAAAGTGATTGAAAATTTCTCTCTCATCTCCCTTGCACTTGAAAACGTTTTTACCCTCCTTGTAAGTTGGGACAAGGCTCAAAAGTAAAAAATTATCGTTAATTACCCTGTTAACTCTTTATATTTTAAACCAAAATTTTCTTCTAACCAATTTTTTATACTTTTCATGTCTTTAATATAAAATCTGATTTGAGAGTTGATATTAATCCTATATGTTAGATTTATTTTATATATTTATCAATTTTTTTAAATTAACTTTATTGATATTCTCCCAACAATAATTAAGTACTAGAAAGAGGAAGGAAATTAAGGAAGATGGTTAGAATGTTTTAAAAAAACATATTATATTAACTAATATCTTTAATCTAATCAAATTAATTAATTAAGTCTTACATTAAAAACGTGATAAGTGTTATGGAGCGGATGGAGTATGTTAGTTTTATGATTTTTTTTTTTGGGTCAAATTAGTCTTATGATTTGGTCTTATGTGATTGTGTTGGTTTGCCTTCACCTGTGTGCAATGTATCACTTAGAAGGTCAATTAATTTGTATATCTTGATACCTCCTTTAGATGCGCAAAATTTTGTAAAAGGTGCATTACACATAGACGAAGAATTTTAATTTCATTTTATAAAAATTAGGTCTCATCCTTGTTAAAAGAATGATTTGTAAATATTAATCCAAATAATGGTAGATGAGAACTCATAATTATATTTGAAACTTAAAAGACTTATTTATAATTAAAAATTAAAACCTAATTATTATCAAATTAATCTTTTGAAATTTAAATGTCATTCTTGCTAAAAGAATTTAGTTTCCATTTTTTAATGAGTAGCAATTTGCACAGGAAGCATGACAATTAAGAATTATTGCCAACGTTACCATAGATTTCCTTCCACTAGACGCGCGCGCTAGAAATATTGCCAGCACCATCACGGAATTGCCCCTCCTTGAAGAGTTTATTCCTATAATGCCCCTTATCAGCAGGGCACAATTTTTCAAGCAGGAAAAACCCTGCGAGTTGTGACTAAAATGCAGAACCGCCACTGACTCGTGTTTCGGCTCGACAAACTATGTCTCAACCCTTGCATTCCGTCGCCAATACCACTCCCGGTGAGCGTCTCGGCTCCGTTGGTCTTCAACTTTCGTTAATTGTTTTTGTTTCAAATTATTTTCTTGTGTTCCTCAGAATGAAATAGAAAGTGTTGTAACCTAAATTAGGAGCTTTATTTCCTCGTTTGTTTTTCTATTCTATCTTTACTTCCTTCACCCTCAAAATGCAACCTAAGCATAGGGGTTTTGATACTGTTTGCCCAAGGCGGTTTTTCTCTTTGGATGGATGGAAAGCTGAACCTTTGTGTGTGTTTTGGCTTAATGTTTTTTAATGCCTTGGCGGGGATCTTCGTTACTGGTCGTAGAATATATGATTTTTCCCCTGCATTATGTCGTTGAAGTTGACTGGTTCTTAGGGTGTTTCTCCTTCACTGGCGTCATTGTGGTTCATCCTTTCATCCCTTTGGCGAAGTGGCGTTTTGAGATTTTGTTAAGGGATAGAGATGTTCTCTGTGTATTTGTGGCTTTTGGTTTTCTCCTATTATTTTCTATCTGTTATTGAAGTGATTCAGCGAGGATGTGACACTTATTCTTAGCAATTTGACGAATGCAATAGAAAAAAAGAAGTAACCTAAGCTGTTTTTCTAGTTTAAAGAAATTTCTCTGGCCTGGTCTTGCAAATGTTAAATAATTTATGGACATCATTTTGTGCAGTTGTTTTTTTCATTATTCATTCAATGCAGGGAGTTTCATTGAGAAGTGAAAACAATTGTTGCTTATATATAATTAGGCGCAAGCACAATCAATTAGAACCCTCTTCTGCCTTGGACCTTGATCACCCTAAAATTATGAATTGGAGGCTTTTGTTTCACAATGATCGGCCTGTTTGAGCTGGCTTTCTTCGAGCTCTAATGTTTTTTTTTTCCCTTGTCATTTTAAATACAAAGGCCTTCATTAGCTAATCGCTTGAGGCTTTGCATGGATTTCTAGGGTGGTATTTAGTGCATTTTTTGTTTAAAAAAAAAAAAAAAAAACCTGATTTACTTTTCTGTTTGCTTTTCACTTTTTGATTCCTCAATTTTCTTTGGTGATCGTGCAGGTTGTGGAGTGCCAAACAGCAGATGTCTCCCATGTTGGGTGTTTCTGGAAAAACAGCTGTTGTGAATTCATGCTCTTCTCGAGGTGATTACAGAATTTGTTCACATGTTAATTTTAAAGGGCTAAAGTGTGCTTCTGTTGGAGCATCTTTTGTGTGTGAAGCAAGGAGGAATCCAGATATCTCAAGGCAAAGCAGGCATGGTTTCTCCCGAAGCAAGAACAGACACAATGAAGGAAAAGGCAGCTTTGAGAACTTCGAAGAAGACATGTTATCTTCAAAAAATGGTCCATTGACATCCCTTTCTTCTTCTAACATCTCTAAATCCCAGGCTACTGCAGCTCCTGGACCTAAGGAGAAGGAGATTGTTGAGCTATTAGGAAAGTTCAAGCTCGCTTGCAAGAGAGAGCTGCTACCAAAGTAGAAAAGAAGGCTGAAGCCTCCCAAGGGCAAGGTAGAGATAATGGCACTGTAGATTCCCTCCTCAAACTATTGAGGAAACACTCAGTTGAACAAAGTAAAAAGAAGCAGTGGAAATGTCAGGGGAAAAGATTCAAGTTTGGAGCAAGACAGTGGCCAATACAACGAAGCACAGAGCCTTAGGTTCTCTGATTTGGATAGTACTGCAAAAGATGATGAGGCTCGAGAAGCCAATGGCCCATTTGTCACCAGGCCTCCATCAAATTTTCAAAGAAGGTCTCCTATTGCTCGCATAAAATACCAACCTGTCTCTGACGATGTGGAGAATGTAAATGCAGTCCCACTAAGTAGTGAAGTTGGAGAGAAAAATCAAGATAAAGCAGTTCTAGATTTGATGCCTGAGTCTGATTCAGAGGCCGAGTCTGAGCTGGAACCTGACTCGAAGGATGATATTTTCTTCCAAGATGTGGGGATGGATGAGTTGGCTGAGGATGATACAAATGATTCTGAACAATCCTTCGTCAGTGGGAATGGAGATGGGAAGAGAGTGATTCAGCATGAGGATTTGAGTGCACTGAAGCTGTCTGAATTGAGGGCACTTGCGAAGTCACGTGGCCTGAAAGGATTTTCAAAATTGAAGAAGGGTGAACTATTGGAATTGCTGGGTTGAAGTTGATTCTGATCTCAGGTTTGCCAAGAAAAGCAAAGACAAGAGAGAGTTAAATAATCTTTACC